CGAAGGCTTTTGTTTTGTCGCTTCTTTCTCGATAACAAACAATCCTCGGTTCCAGTACTTTTCTTGGCCTCTGTCGATACTCTGGTTTTTGGTTGATTACTAAGCGTTTAAGACGTCATATCTGTACTCTCTGGTAAGCTTTTGTGGGGTTTTAGGATAAGGAATTTTATTTCGGGATGGAAATTGATATTTAATGGGCTGAGATTTTGAATTTAAGATAGTTTATTCCTGAATTTCAGTCGCGACCAAGGTGTGCTACAGAAAACTCGTGTTTAATTTGTAATAAAACATCAATCATATAGCATAAATAAAACCAAAGATACCCAAAAAATCTATCATCAATTTTAAAACATTAAGTTTTAATTCACCAATTTGCCAAAGAAGACATAAAAAAAATCAGCAACATAATTTTCAGAAGAGTGTCGTGCTCGGCGGTGGAGTTAAGGTCTGCCCAAACAGTTCCATCGTTCCTTCGACGAGTCTCTCCCCTCAGCGCGACTCCAAGTGTGAGTATCTCTTTTCTTTATCCTCGATTATCTGGGTCATCGAGAGGTGGACGAGGGGCTTTTAGTGTGCGATCGATACAAGCTTTATCACAGATTGAATTGCAGTAAGGTGAGGCGAAGACAGAAAGAGGTGATTGTTTAAATTTCGGTAAAATAAATGAAAGAGGTTGTTTCCATCATGTGTCGGCAGGAACCTTGAAAGCAACCATCCCCGCACTTACGATATGATGATTTTGACATTAATTCTGGGTTTACACGTGTCTGTGCCTGACCTAAGCGCTTGGTCGAGCGAGTGTGATATTCAGACCCAACACCGGTAACGTTAAAGTACGAAAAAGTATAAAAAAAATATATCCGTGATGTGGACTTTTTCTCATGCATTGCGGTTTGCTGACGGAAGTTAAGATATTGTCTATAAAACACGTGTTGGTATTAATTCTTTTCGGGCGCCTCGGGTGAGTATTTTCCACTACTCCCCGCGGAGGAAAGCAGATCAGAAGGACCGTGTTTCAGTGGGGTTTGGCTATTTTCTGCCGTTTTGAGTGTGGTAATGTTTACTTGCTGTCTCTTAGGGATGCGTAGCAGGTGTATTGAACTGCTGGTCGAGTGTATAAGAAAAGAGAAATAAAAAGAAAAAACTGAAGTGGAGGACAGAAATTGTATTGGAATACATTGAATCTTAACAGAAGTATTGGAATTCAAGGTTAATGTGAGAGAGAGCAATGCACAGAGAGAGTGAGAGAGAGAGAGAGAGAGAGAGAGAGAGAGAGAGAGAGAGAGAGAGAGAGAGAGAGAGAGAGAGAGAGAGAGAGAGAGAGAGAGAGAGAGAGAGAGAGAGAGAGAGAGAGAGAGAGAGAGAGAGAGAGAGAGAGAGAGAGAGAGAGAGAGAGAGAGAGAGAGAGAGAGAGAGAGAGAGAGAGAGAGAGAGAGAGAGAGAGAGAGAGAGAGAGAGAGAGAGAGAGAGAGAGAGAGAGAGAGAGAGAGAGAGAGAGAGAGAGAGAGAGAGAGAGAGAGAGAGAGAGAGAGAGAGAGAGAGAGAGAGAGAGAGAGAGAGAGAGAGAGAGAGAGAGAGAGAGAGAGAGAGAGAGAGAGAGAGAGAGAGAGAGAGAGAGAGAGAGAGAGAGAGAGAGAGAGAGAGAGAGAGAGAGAGAGAGAGAGAGAGAGAGAGAGAGAGAGAGAGAGAGAGAGAGAGAGAGAGAGAGAGAGAGAGAGAGAGAGAGAGAGAGAGAGAGAGAGAGAGAGAGAGAGAGGGAAATTAACATTGGCATCGTAGAAAGTATCAAGAAGTATTAGTGACACAAGTGCATATGCTCCAGCCTCATATTTATTGCAGATTGACGAACATATCTGCTGCATATCACCGCTCAGGGACGAAGTAAACATAGTAGTTCCTAAGGTCTCGTTTTCTATAAGTCGGCACTGAGAGCAACGCCTGATGAAGAAATGAAAACCCAAAACCCAAAATATGAAGAATTCCGTCCTTGTTTTATCTAATGTATGGGTCTTGCCCTGTGACCACCTCTAGGGCTGCCATTCCCCAAACCCCACCCAGGAAAACAATCCTCCAAGTATTTATATTAGGATAGTGTGAGCATTGTGACCGCATGATGCCAAGTGTCCAATGCTCCATCCTGCCGTGAAAATGAGGAGGATTCTGGTTTTCTGGTCGGGGATAGGGAAGCGCGGCAGTTCCCCATGGTGGGGATCGACTGATTCTGTGTATATTATTATTTTAGCCCAAAATTTCCCTGTTACCTTTGATGCCTTCCCCTGTTATCAGGACTAAGGATGTACGGGTTTAGGGCTGGGGTTCTGCAGCATTATTTCTGTTTACATTATTTGTTGAGGTTGAAAGGAGTCATTTGGCACCACATTGTTTGCAGTCGCTTTAACAATTACCTCAAATAACGTCTGGTATATTAGGTTTCTTACAGCCATATTGTTAAATATAAAATTTACCCATTGATGAACAGAATTACCGAAAAATACTTTTTATCCATAGTACTACCTTCATAAGTTGATGAAGTTAAGTAGTTTGGCATACAAACTAATGGCACTGTAATAATTAGGGGGAAAAGCTAGGTTCAGTAAGACCTAAATTAATCTGCGTAGGCAAAAAGTTGAAGATTGAGAAAATAGGTTGCAACATTTGCCTTGATAAGAGTAGTCTGTCCATAGTAATTGGGTGGGGGGTAGGGGCAAACTCCCCAGTTGGGAAATTTGGTGATCGGATGGGGGTTTGGGGTTGAAGTGCCCGTGTTAGGAAGGATTTTGGTTCATATAGTGGTGATTGTGGATTTTTGTGGACTGGATGGCTGCATGAAACTAAAGAAATTACATAATCTCCTGGTGCAGCAAAAAGAGAATGGAAAAACAAGAAAACATGAATTTGCTAAATCCCTTTTCATTATGTTGCTCTGTCAGATATATAGTGAAGAAGCCTTTGGGATACTTGTGTTTTTTCTTGTTCTGCCCTTTGTTCTATTTGTAATTTGTTCTATATGAATCCCACCTTTCAACCAACCTTGAAGGGTCTGTGAGAAGTCCTGAATAATGAAATGATATATATTTACATAATGGCTGCACTGAAAATCAGAGGAATACATTTCACACTGTGTTTGTGTAGGCAGAAAATAACTTCAGAAATTTGGAAAATAGATTAAAAAATTGCTGTGCAGACTGTCTGTAGTAGCTATACAAGGCAATTTAAGAATTGGTTCTTGTAAAATACCTTGAGTCTTGATGCTTTGCTGCCCACACATGGCCCAAAATCAGGGCATTAGGCTTGCTTGATTGTCCACCCTCATAAGTGTGTGGTTTGTAGGCCCGTTGAACACAAACTCTCGTGTATAGTGTTGAGTCTCCTTGGCTGTCCTTTGGAATATTCTTTTTCTGCATAAGTAAAACCTTGCATATTAATATCGCCTTGGTCCATGGCTAAATTTTTCCACAACGACATGTTTGTTTCACCTGGCTCTTAACACCTACGATCCAAATGGTGTGGCTATCACATCATGGAAATTTTGGTCGTGGGCTGGAGTAATGGGAACGACTTTATAGAAGTGAGCAAAGTTCTTGGTGGGTGATTAGACTAGGTGGGCATTTAGAAAGGGGCTTCTGCATTATATCCATCAATAAGAGTGGTGATACGTGCTGTTCATAAGCCATGACTGGAGGAGTGCTGGCTGCAGTGAGAACACTGTTTCTATGCTCAGGATCCTATTCCTGCCTATTGTTTTACCATTTAAAATGTTCATATTTCAAGTCCTCTTTTGAACTTCTTAGTTCTTGGTCATGAAACCAATTGTCTGCATGCTTTATGTAAAACCACTGTGGAATAAGAGAAAATGGGGGCATAGCTTGACAATTGGAATGTAGCTGAAAATTATACCTACATGCTTTCGATTTTTTAGACTGGTGTCACAATATGTGGTTTGCTTTGTTGCTGCAGTCCTCATACTTTTCTCTTCTCAAGCTTTCATGAAGTAACCACTGCCAAAGAGGGCTATTTTGATCTTTTTTTAACCTTTTAGTTAGTTTTTTATACAAATGATAGTACTTATAGGTTGTAAGTAGTCGGTTTTGAGATTCGTAAATGCCTATTTGTATCTTCCACCATAATGGCTAGCTTAGCTATGGGTTATTGGTGGTTGCAATTACTCACATTATGTTTTTGAAGGGTTGGTAATAACTATTTGCAGTATGTCATAGATGGGAAAATAAGGCTTCTTCCAGTAGAGCCTTATTAAATTTTATACTTGGACTTAATGTTTCCAAGATCATTGGCACAGTAAAGATAATAAAATAAAATAAACCACATTGGTTTTTAATCCAAATTCATTTTTGGGGGGAATGGAGATCCCTTGTAACACTTGCCAATTAAGAAATGACCACATTTAGATTTAGCACTAAATCTTTATACCTTTTAGTACAAAGTATTTAGAAGAAAAAAAGAAAATTAATAATACATTGAATTTTACAGATAAGCAATGGCTCCCCGTAAAGGAAAGGTTCAAAAGGAGGAGGTCCACGTCTCCCTCGGACCTCAAGTCAGGGAAGGAGAGAATGTGTTTGCCGTCTGCCACATCTACGCCAGCTACAATGACACCTTCGTGCATGTAACTGATCTGTCTGGCCGTGAAACCATCGTCCGTATCACTGGTGGTCAGAAGGTGAAGGCTGATCGTGACGAGTCCTCCCCCTACGCTGCTATGTTGGCTGCACAGGTAAGTCTCCCAAACTACAAACATGATGTTCTCATTTGACATTTCCTCTGATTTGGAGAGTTGTACTGATACTGGGAATTTGGTGCAGGATTATACTTTGATTAGGTCAGAAAAGAAATAGATGTTCCTTGTAATATGAAAGTGAATTGTTCATCAACCCACTAGTCACATCATCCAAGACTTCCATGGATGTTTGCACATCTGACTTGAATGGGCAGTTAGTTTTTCCTTGTAACTCCTTGTAGATAGGCCTGTATGGAAGTTATTTTGAAGGATTAGTTATGGGGTCAAGTATAAAGAGTGAAAGTAAACAATCAAATCATGGTGGAATACTTTCAGGACGTTTCCGAGAAGTGCAAGTCGCTGGGAATCAACGCTCTGCATGTGAAGATCCGTGCCACTGGAGGCAACAAGACCAAGACTCCAGGCCCAGGTGGCCAGTCGGCCCTCCGTGCCCTTGCCCGTTCTGGCATGAAGATTGGCCGCATTGAAGTAAGTAGTGGTGTATGTGGTTTTGAAAATTTAGCATATTTAATGTGTCTGAACTCCACTGCCTAACATGAAGAATTTGAGGTCCTGTTAGCTTTAGATGAAAGAGTAAAGTTAGAATAATTTATCAGAATTGACATTTGTTTAATCATCCTCTTGGAGAAGTTGCCTCAGAAGTAAATTGGTGAATTTTGAGAGCAGCCCCACTCAATCTTTTGTGTGAGGCAGTAAATATGTTCAACTTGACTATGAGGAGAGATTTATCATTTTTAACAACTTTTAACAACAGTCATTTATATAACTAAATTTACTGAGCTTGAAGGTAATTGTGAAAGGAAATGATCTAGAACCACCTGTAAAATTTAAAAACTAGAGCATTATTTCAAGTGGCAAAGGAAAGCATATTTAGTCCATAAGGGTTAGATAAAACATAAAAATAAAAAAGGCATAGCAAAAAATTTAATAATTTACATTTGAAGAGGATTAGTTGTGAAGTAAGACTTGTTAAAAGAAATAACTCTCTTCACTTGTTTCTGGTTTTAATATTAACTTTTTCTTTTTACAGGATGTCACACCAGTTCCCTCTGACAGCACACGCAGGAAGGGTGGTCGCCGTGGTAGGCGTCTGTAAATGGTCAGCTGTAATAAATATTATAGTTTAATTTGATTTTTTTTCCCTCCCATTTTGAGATTTTTAAACCTTTCTGCAATGAATAAGAGATTTTGTGGAACTTTGTAGAAGTTGTTATTGAAAGTTTTGTAGACTAATTTCTGGTAGGATGTTATGATGAATAAATGGTTTTATGTAATCTAGAAAAGTGTCAAAGAATTTTCTGTTTTCTGTTTGAAGGCCATCATGAGAGTTGATGTTGAATCATTGTCAAAATACAAAATTTATTGTTAATTGCAAGCCTTTCTTTCCCACCTGAGACTTTGTGCAGTTAAAGGCTCAAGTGTTGTCAGTAGAAAGGATTTAAAAGTTTTTATAACTGAATTGTGTATTTAAAGATATATATCTAATATCAGATGCAAGCCAGCTTATGACAATTTTTTACTAAAGGAAAATGAGTAAGTATCCATATTTTTTGTCAGTAATAGAATGATATAGATTGAAATTTATACCTAAAGATGGAATTACAAGGAGCTTAGGTGTATATATTGAACTACAGTATTTTCTAGGCTGTTTCTTCAGAGGTGTGGCAAAAGGCCTTCAAGATTCAATGGAATGGAACAAACCCCAGCCTCTCCTGGAAACTAGTTAGGTCTGTATTTTTATTTTTATTTTATTATTTCTTTTTTTTTAGTAACTGCTATACTAGTCAGTGAAATTTTATAGTGTGCTGTAATCCAAGAACAGAAATTTAGAAATGTCTTCATGTTACAGGATGTGTCCAGAGATGCTGGTCACATTAGAAGAAAGCTTTGGATGCAGGACCAGAATTGTCTGACATCTTCATTGACTGTTTACATTAACCAGGTAATAATTTGGTACTTGCTGCTAATGCATGATTGATTGAAATGTCTCATAATGATTATTTATGAATTGTGTACAGTACTGTCTAGATCTGAACAGGCAAAAGGAGATTAGTTCACTTGTACATTTCCTGAAATGAGTTCTTGTACCCCTTTTATGATCTTCATATGTCCTACTGCTTGACATGGGAATGGGTTAGTGTCAGGAGTGCCAGAGCTGCTGTAGGTGCACAGACCATGCTAAGATCCTGACTAAATTCAGAACTACTGTTTAAGGTAGCAAATCCCAAGTTAATGAATAGGGGAATGACTTGACTGGCTTTTCAAGGGTAAAGGTTACCATGGTTCATAAAGAGTTTCATTATATTTTCAGGTTGATTAGTTTCACTTACAGTGTTTATGTAAATATGAACATGTATCTTTTGTAGAAGTGTTTTTTTGTGGTTGTATCAGGAAGATTAAACCAAGCATAGAAGCTGGGATTCAGAATGAAAACAAAAGAAATTGCCAAGCACTATTAGCAGATCAAATGGCTGGCTTAGTGCTTCTAGAATTGTGATAGAATTTTTGCCAGCATTGCTATTGTACCATCATTTCAAGATGCCTTTCTCAACTTGCTTGGCTTGGCATAATGATGGATGGTAGAAAGATGGAAGATATCCACCTGAATAAGCTTGACTAGTTTATTCAAACTAAAATTTTCGGACAGTTGAAAGAAGCTATTGCTAAATGTGACGAATGATATTTGTTTTCGTTTGTTTGATTAGTCTCTCCTCTTTCCAGAAATAGTGTAGCAGAAGAAACACGTGACAGCTGGGATGCCTCAATCTAACTGGTTACTGCTATAGAAAAAGTAAGTTATTTCTCTAAATACTTTGATTATATTACACACAATGCACCTGTATACTGACTGGTAGAAAAGATAAGGAGAGACCAGGTTCAGTGCAGTTTATTCATCAAGACCAGTGCAGTCTGACACTATCTTATATAGACTTGCAACTTCATATGTATATTCTTCCTTTGCAAAATTTTAGACAGACAGTATCTTGTGAAATAGTACAGTACTTGATATTGAAGTGTAATTGTGTGTCCATGATTTTATTCTAAATTTTTTGTATTAGAAAATAAAGTGCATAAGAAAGTAAACTTGAAGTAATTCTTAAAATTTGTTCTATCGGCATGGCCAGACTGTTACGTTCCTCCTAGTTTTACCCTTCATATCCATACCCTTTTTATTTTATATTTGAATCTTAATGGTCATATTGCAATAGAACAATCATACATGCATATCCCCATAGTATTACTCCTGATATTGCTGTTATGTGTGGTTGAATTTTCTTCAATATTGCAACCCAACATTTGCACCATCATTCAAAGACGTCCTTCTCAACTTGCTTGGCTTGGCGTAACAGTCGATGGTAGAAGAAGTTGAATCTGCAATCCAGATGTACTCGGTAGTTTATTTGGAGCCTGTTTTCACACATAATCATATATATATATTTTTTTCTTTTTTTAAGATGCTTGTATATTGATATGGTTATTGCAACTGTGTTTAAAATGTTTTTTTTTTATTTCTTTCAGATGTAAAGCATGGCAGGAAAGTTCATGCTGTTAGAATGGAATTCAGGTACAGTTTTTTTTTTACAGCCAGTTTTATCCTTAGATATTATTTGTTGATTTGTCATTGCTGATAAGGTTGAATAGATAATGGCAGAGATGTAAGCTAGTCCTCATCAAAGCATCATAGATTAAGTGATTTGGAATCAAGAAGGGTTTATCAGTTATGAAAAATATTTATACCTGCTACTACATTTATGCATCCCTTTTCAAGTCTGTAATTGGGGAAGAGTAATCTATAAAAATTCCTTATTTATTCACATTTTTTTGTGAATCAAGTTGGTTACATATATATGGGTGCATTATAACTAGTCCAGAATTTAAGATTTCCCCAATTAATTTAATTATTTAGCATGCTTCTAGTTAGATTCACAATAAAAGCAGAAAATAAAATTATCAATCACTTTTAGGAGATCATTAAGCTGGCAATGTATATAAAAATTGATCAAATATTTGCAGGCAGTATTGATTTTGCACCATCATCTCTATTCCTAGATGCCTTTCTCATCTTGCTTGGCTTGGCATAATGATGGATGGTAGAGAAATGGAAAATATCCACTTGAATAAACTTGACTTGTTTATTCAAACTAAAATTTTCAGACAGTTGAAAGAAATTGTATTTTTTGAAATGTAATGGAGAGGAAAGGTTTTCTGATTAGATTTCCTCTTTTTCAGAGCTCTGTAGCTTAGTAAGAAAGAAGGAAGAAAGTTCAGACACCAATGGGAACTGGTCACCATCATTAACAGGTTATATTTAAAAGGTAAGTTATTTCCCTATATGTAAGTTATTTCCCTATATGTTATAGATTTATTAGATGTAATACTAATGTTTATTGATAGGTAGAAAATTTTTAACCCTGATTTAATGGTCTTTCTCTTAGCTTGTTGGTTTAATATAATTAATGCTAGATAAAAGATAGTGAATTCTCCTAGTTTTACTCAGACAAGTAACAGATATCTTCCAAATTGTAATAGTTCTAAATGGTTTTAGTTTTGATTTCCTGTCTCTTTTCCATTATGCTATTATAATACCATTAAAAAAAAAAAAAAATCAAATTCAGCATGTATGTTTCTAGCTTGGGGGAAATGTAAATGATGTAGTAAAAAGGATACTTGGTGGATGATAGTTTATGTACCAGGGATGAATATTAGTCCTTACAAAGGCACTAAAGATTAAAGGGCACTTTGAACAGAATGCAAGTTAAGTATGACCAAAAGCACAAGGTCATGTGTATCATTATTCCACATCTATAGTGTGGAAGAATGGAGGGAATGAAAGAACCTTTATCTTGGAATAACCTGTTAAAAGTCCCCAGTATTATTACTTGTGTGGCCCTAGGTTTTAAAACTGGCCCAACGTTCCATGCAGTGTTTTCACCCTTAAATTATCATATTTTGTATATTTGTAGTCCTATTCAGAATGAAAGCATCAGGAAGAACTTGAGTACTATTAGCAGATCAAGTAGATTGCACTATTGCTCTTGTACCATCATTTCAAGAACGCCTTTCTCAACTTGCTTGGCGTGGCATGATTATGGATGGTAGAAAAATGGAAAATATCCACCTGAATAAGCTGGACTGGTTTATTCAAACTAAGATTTTCGGACAGTTGAATGAAATTGGTGAAGTCTGGTAAAAGGAAGGAAAAGAAAAAGAAATAATGATTGAATTCTCCTATTTTTCCAGAAATGGCTTGGGTGAAGAAACCTTGAAGGTCAGATGCCTGTGGTACCCGTCAACTACATTGAAAAGATTACATTTAAAAAGTAAGTTGTCAAATTAAATAAGTAATTAACACTATTGTAGTGTTGTCTTGCCCTCAGTTACGCTGAATCTCTTTAGTGTTAGAGTAACATGACTGTAATTCTTAAATATTCTTAACCAGCTAAGTCATCTTGTCTATGATTATATATGATGATAAGATTAGTAGTTTTTGCTTTGTAAAGTCAAGGTCATTAAGTACTGGTAACCAAAATGCAGTGGAAATTGGAGGGGGGGAGAATAACTTTGTCACTGGGAGACAGGCAAGCTGGAGGATGTATGGATTCGGGGTTGTAATTTTTTGTAATCCGAGTGCATCATTTCTTATAAATAATCAAGGCCATAATAATCAGCTTTGTTAAAACTGTTCTTAATTGTGGCCATTTAAAATCCTCTAAGCATCTTATGTATGAAGATTAATTTTAATCGATTTCATGATTTCTGTGGGCCATACCAAGCCATGCACCAGGGCCTTTGTGTAGTTACCCATTTGAGTGTGAAAGATTAGAAGTGAAGGAAATGTATTATGCTGCGCCTATGCTCTTGGCTGTGGTGCATATAATTTTCTGGTCGATGAGGCTAAAATGAGGCCATAAACTCCCTCAGAGGGGATTACCTCCTTAGTGCAGTTGGAGCCAAACAAGAAAACTGTTCAGCATACATAACTTACAGCGGGCTGACGGTACAGGAATCAGAATTGACAGAAGGGAAAATAGAATAGAAAATAGAATATTGTCAGACCAAATGGTTTATTATGCACAGCCCAAGGATTGATTTTTTTTTTACTGGCAGCATTGCTCTTGTACCATTGTTTCAAGATGCCTTTCTCAACTTGCTTGGCTTGGCAAAATGATGGATGGTAGAAAAATGGAAAATATCCACCTGAATAAGCTGGACTGGTTTATTCAAACTAAGATTTTCGGACAATTGAAAGAAACCATTGAAAAACTAGTGTTGTCTTGCCCTCAGTCACGCTGAATTCTCTTTAGTGTTAGAGTAACATGACTGTAATCTTAAATATTCTTAACCAGCTAAGTCATCTTGTCTACTGATTATATATGATGATAAGATTAGTAGTTTTTGCTTTGTAAAGTCAAGGTCATTAAGTACTGGTAACCAAAATGCAGTGGAAATTGGAGGGGGGGGGAGAATAACTTTGTCACTGGGAGACAGGCAAGCTGGAGGATGTATGGATTCGGGGTTGTAATTTTGTAATCCGAGTGCATCATTTCTTATAAATAATCAAGGCCATAATAATCAGCTTTGTTAAAACTGTTCTTAATTGTGGCCATTTAAAATCCTCTAAGCATCTTATGTATGAAGATTAATTTTAATCGATTTCATGATTTCTGTGGGCCATACCAAGCCATGCACCAGGGCCTTTGTGCATTTAGCCATTTGAATGAAAGATTAGAAGTGAAGGAAATGTATTATGCTGCTCCTATGCTCTTGGCTGTGGTGCATATAATTTTCTGGTCGATGAGGCTAAAATGAGGCCATAAACTCCCTCAGAGGGGATTACCTCCTTAGTGCAGTTGGAGCCAAACAAGAAAACTGTTCAGCATACATAACTTACAGCGGGCTGACGGTACAGGAATCAGAATTGACAGAAGGGAAAATAGAATAGAAAATAGAATATTGTCAGACCAAATGGTTTATTATGCACAGCCCAAGGATTGATTTTTTTTTTACTGGCAGCATTGCTCTTGTACCATTGTTTCAAGATGCCTTTCTCAACTTGCTTGGCTTGGCAAAATGATGGATGGTAGAAAAATGGAAAATATCCACCTGAATAAGCTGGGCTGGTTTATTCAAACTAAGATTTTCGGACAATTGAAAGAAACCATTGAAAATGTAAAGAAAATGGTAGTGTGTGGCAAGAAAAAAATCTGATTAATTTCTCCCTTTTTCCAGAAATGGTTTGGCTGAAAAAACATGAAGGCAAAATACCTGTGATAACCGATCACCTTTACTGAATTAGGTAAGTTTATTTTTTCCAAGTATTATAATATTGATTAGATGTGAAATGAATGTATATTGACTAGTAGAAAATTTCCAAGCCATATCTATCATGGGTTGGGGTAACATTCCGTGGTTAGATAGAAAGATCTCCCTTATCATATACTTGATTTTATTCAAATAATGATATTATAGTAGTTCTAAGTTTATGATCTGTTTTATCATTTTCTTTTGACTTGGATATGTTTTCGGTATATAAATTGTAGAGTAGTTCTCCTTTCTGCCTTCATTAAGGAAAAGGATAAAAATAACTTAGATCAAATGGCTTCCTGTGTACAGTGCAGCCCGATTAGTTATTTGTTTGTTTATTTTTCTTTATATTTCTTCTGGCACCATCATTTCAAGACACCTTTCTCAACTTGCTTGGGTTGGTTTACAAATGGATGGTAGAAAAATGGAAAATATCCACCTGAATAAGCTGGGCTGGTTTATTCAAACTAAGATTTTCGGACATTTGAAAGAAAATGTATTGGTAAAGTGTGGTAAAGAGAGAGAAAAAAAAATCTTATCAATTTCTCCCTTTTTCCAGAAATGGTTTGGCTGAAGAAGCATGAAGCCAAAATACCTGTGATAACCGATCACCTTTACTGAATTAGGTAAGTTTATTTTTCCAAGCATTATGATACTTATTAGATGTGATATGAATGTACATTGATTAGTAGAAAATATCCGAACCTTCTCTTTCTCGAGTTGGAGTAACAATCGGTGGTTAGATGAAAGGAAGATCTCCCTTATTACATATTTAATTTTATTCAGATAATGAATATGCTTGGTTTATAATAAATGTATGATCTGCTTTGCTTGTTCTCATGATTTTCTTTTGACTTGGATATGCATTTGGTATATTAATTGTAGAGTAGTTCTTTCTGCCTTCATTATATATTTTTTTTCTCTTAGCAGATCAAATTAACTTGCTGTACATTGCAACCCAGTTATTTATATATTTATTTATTTTTTCTGGCAATACTACTCTTGTACCATCATTTCAAGATGCCTTTCTCAACTTTTGCTTGGGTTGGTTTATTAATGGATGGTAGAAAAATGGAAAATATCCACTTGAATAAGCTTGACTAGTTTATTCAAACTAAAATTTTCAGACAGTTTAAATAAAAACTTTTCTTGAAATAACGACAGAAAGAAAAATGCTCTTTGTTCCTAAATAAGTTTCTCCTTTCCAGGAATTATTTTGATGGAGTAGGAGTGTGAAGCTCAAGATACCTGTAGGACAACTGGATGGCTTTATGAAAAGGTAAATTTGATAGGAGTTTTCATTATTTTGTTATTTATTTTATTCTGGAACACAAATGTAAAGCTGAATAGTGGAAAGTTTTTGGTCCCAGTTTTCATCTTGGCTTTCTTAACATACATTCAGTAATAGATAGGAGGGGGATCTCCACTTGAGTGAAAGTAGTTGCTATAAAACTAAAACAAAACAAAAAAAACATGTTTCTTTGTCTATGTATTACAATGTATTTCATGTTTTAGGTATAGTTAGAGTGGCTTGATTAGTTTCAAAAGGGAATTCAATGATAGGTTTCTGAAGCACCTGCTTTCTGCCATTCTTGTAAAGTATCACACATTCTAATCCATAATAAAACTTAATTTTTTCAAGTTTTGTCTTTCATGCCTTCTTCTAATTCTCCGTGTTAGAAAGTGAAATGATTTGAAACTATATCAATATATTTTTTGGGTTATGCTGCTATATACATGCCTTCGTTATTTTATCAATGTTAGTTTCTTTTCTGTATTTGAATTTCAAATTGTGAATATTGCAACTCGATGTTTGCACCATCATTCAAAGACGTCTTTCTCAACTTGCTTGGCTTGGCGTAACAGTCGATGGTAGAAGAAGTTGAAAACTGCAATCTAGATAAATTCCATAGTTTTTTTGGAGATTGTTTTCAGACAAGTATAAAATTTTGGAGGTATTTTTTCAGGATACTGATAAGAACTTGAATGGTAATTAACAATTTTCTTTGTCTCTTTCAGATATGATGTGTAACAGAAAGGTCTGTGCTGTCAGAGTGGAAATCAGGTGTGTGTTCACCTATATTTAAGTTCTCATGTATCAAAGTTTTAGGTGATAGTGCAACCAAAGAAATAGTTTATCCTACTTAGCAGAGTCTGAACCATTCCTTGGTAAAATCATATTTTCCCCAATTTCATTACAAGACTTGTTTATAGTAATTATGCCACTCGCAGTGGATATATATGAAGCAACCATGCCATGAACAGCTGAACATGTACATATTTTGCACTAAATAGTAGTGCCCTTATTTACTCTAATGTAAATATTACAGTAATAGAGTATTAATATTATATCATACAAGAACCTTTAGGGTATATTCTGTGAATAACCTACAAAACTTTGCTTTATTTTATGTGCTTTATTACTTAATTATTTAACTTTAGGTTGATATGTGTAGTTAATAGCGAAATGCTGTCGTTTATCTAAGTACTCGTCACCATCATTCAGATGCCATTTGCAGCTCCTTTGTGTTGGCATAATTAATGTGATGGTAGATAAAATGAAGGTTCCTATCCAAGTGAACATTTATTGTTTATTTGGAGTAATATTTTCTGACATTTAGATCCTGAAAATGGTTATGGTAGGGAAACTTTAACCAGAATGAGCTGCACTAAGAACTTGCCATGAAGAACAAGGAAGGTCTTGCTCTTAACTTATTTTTTAGGTGAAGTTTGGCATAGGTTTAGGCATAGGTTTGGGTGATGATATGATGTCGGTACCAAGATGAAGAGAAGTTTGGTGTTAGTACAAAGTTTATTTGCAAATCCTTGGAAAAATAATTTCTTTGATATGCATGGCACTTTCAAATCATGTGTTATTTCCTAGGTGTGTTAAATATTTTTGTCTCTATTGTAGAAAGACTCCTTTGAACTTGTAATTTGTAATAGAGAGTAACCTTAGTATAGTCTTCAGTATTTGACCAATTATATTACTCTTTCAGATCCAGCCCAGCCTCCCTCGTTTAAGGGTAAGAATTGCTTGAACTTCGCAAGCGCTGCCACAAAATGGATTTTTTAATGATGCATATATTGTGAATGGTAAACCCTCTACTGTATTGATACTGTGATGGACAAAAAACCACAATACACAAACAAGATTTATTAGAAATGAGAACTGTTTTGAAATCCTTGATTCCCAATTCAGGTCAGACCTGAAGGTGGAATTCAGGAGGATTTTGAAACTGTTGTCTTGTTTTTAACAAATCTAGTTTGTGACTGTGGGTTTTTCTACTATGTGTATTGTATCTTTTTTTTAATAAAGTACTTTAAATAAAAATTAGATATTTTCTTTTCAGTTAACCTTATTCATATAATCTCCAAAACTTAATTTACTAAGATTCATTGAGAGACAGAATTGCTGAGTGCAGTATACAAGTACCTGAATATATACATGTGCAAGATACAGATACAGATACAAATATAAATACAAATACAAATATTTTCATCTGTTAATCTATATATAACCTTATATTGGCAAATTATTTATACATGCTAAGTGAAGGGTCGTAGGACAATAAAAATCAAGGTGCTAACATCCAAGACCAGAATAATTTGACCAAGTAGTACAAGGTAATCTGGTGATTATGGTAATTACTGTCCTTAACACCCCCCCCCCCCAATCCCTTGCTCGTCATGAGGAGGGGGGGGCCTAGGAGGTGGAGAGTGAGGCCTAATGTACGGTTCACCCCTATTTTGGATCTTGGCCCAACAAACTTAGCATCGTCTTTTCTTCTCCCCCTTTCCTTTCCCATCTCATCCCCTCTGTCCACTTATCCTAATCGTTAAAACAATTTTATACTTTCTGCCACAATACTGTGTCCTAATGCTGTGTGACCGTTGTCTGGCACCTTTGTTCTTGACTGTTCTGGAAATCCACAAACATCGCCTTGTAACCCAAAAAAAAACTTCTTTATATGGGGACTTCGCTTTAGCCCCTCTTGCTATATTTTGAATATGGTGGTGATAACCTTAGATGATGGCAGAAAAATTACCAATAAGTTAGATTAAATACTATCCTAATGCTGTTGTAGAATACTAACTACTATATTATTCGGTACGATTCCTAAAGGCCTAACTATCATTGCTTTTGTTATCGCTATCAGACCCCAATCCCTTGCTCGTTGCTGTCGTGGGGGGGGGGGGCTTGGGAGACGAGGACTTTATCACAACAATCTTGGTCCTCATCCCTTGTCTCCACTAATTTTGCATGGTCTTTTCTTCTTTCCTTTTTCCTTTTTCTTCATCTCCTTGTTCTGTCCACTTACCTAAGCGTCAGTCATTTTTGCTGTTTTCGCCACAATACTTTTATCATAATGCTCCCTACCCCTTCTAACAACAGTATACTATACCCCATCAGTTCCCTCTCTGCCCTTTTCGCCATTCTGTTTAACTGATTAACATGTACTATTCAACCTGAAACTTTACCCTAATCATAAACTCCTTCCTAACCCTTTTCGTTACTCTACCGTACCTTCTCTGCCCTTTTCGCCGTTCTGTTTAACTGTTTAACATGTACTATTCAACCTGGAACTTTACCTTAATCATAAACTCCTTCCTAACCCTTTTCGTTACTCTACCTTACCAAAGCACCTTATGACCTTGGATGTCATATAGCACTTACATAGGGGCTTTACCCCAAAGCCTCACGCTATCACTGTATTTTGAATAAGCCGCTAATGGCCCCAGGCGTCGACGTGGCAGGAAATTTTCAATAAACAAACAAATAGTACGTTTATTTTACCACTTTACCCCCCCCCCCCCAATTCCTTGCCCGTTGTTGTGGGGGGGCTTAGGAGGCGAGGACTGGGACCCAATGCTAGGGATCTCCCCTGCCTGAACGGCCTGAGGAAGCCATGGGTGTGCTATTCCCCTGTTTCAGTTGTCTAGCCCTTACCCCTTATACCCACACTTTGATACAGCCTGTACCTCTGTTTTCCCCCGCCTATCCTCCCTTCACCGACCTCCCAACCTATCAGGCATTCTTACTGAATCTCACATTTTCTGCTCTGACAACTTTTCTCCTTCCTCAGACGCATACATATCCTTCACCTGATATGATCCCCCTTACCTAACCCTACCTTAACCCATTCACTCATCAACTCCTTTACCCATGTTTAACTTTTTCAATGTTAACTAGATAGTTGACGTATATCAACTAACTACTAACTCAACCGCCCTTCAGTACCTATTCTGCCTTTAACCATTAACCATTATCCATTTATCACTTATTGATACAAATTACTATAGTAATATTAGCATCGCTTTATGGCAATTTTAGAAAAAAATGAGAGTTATCTGCAGTCAAAACCTAAATATATCTTAGCACAAGCTGAAGGTACGGGAAAATAATTTAGCGGAAAAAAATCGAGAAATGGGATATATAATCTATTTCGGGAACCAAATTAGAACATGCCCAGTTGTGATTTGATTTGATAAGGGCACCGATTCCCACAGAAATATCCTCCTTTCAGAAACCCATGTCTGAGATAAAGAAAATAATGTGAATATTTATGTAACCTGTTTTTATTTACAAACATTAGTCCATTGATTTCAGCTTGTTATGCTTTTTCTTTAGAATTATATTATAAATCTTAACAAGAGTATATTGGCAAATATATCTGAAAAGAAGTACTACTGGGTCTACAGGAATGGTGAAGAATGGAGCATCTTTTCTTTAGTAAAATAAACGATTACAGAACATTTACAGATGACCGGGGAACCTTTTTTATGTAAAAGAATGTCCATATCGTCGGCTTTGAAACACTATGACACTAAAAGCAACAAAGAAAACGTTGAGAATCTCAAACAAATGTCGAGGTGCACTCATTTTTTTGCCTCTTTCCTTCTTTCTATGTGCTATTCCACAGGTTCTTAAGCTTTCTGGTCCTTGAGTCGAACCATTTTTAGCTCGCAGTATCACCATTAAATTCCCCCACAGTCCCACGCTCGTTGTCGTGGGGGGGGGGGGGGTCTTAGGAAACAGGGACTGAGGCCCGATGTAGATCACTCCTTTCTTCTGTCCACTTATTCTAATCATTAACTCATTTTTACCCTCTTCGCCACAGTACTTTTATCATAATACTATATAACCTTTATCTAGCATGATTTGTTTTTTTACCATTAATTATTCTTGGAATCCACAAACATCGCCTCATGAACTGTCCCTCTCAACTATGCCGATGTATATATATCCGGTTGATTTTTTTAATTCTTTATCCAGTTCTATGCCAACTTGTGTTACTCGGTTTACCCTTTTCTGAACGATTAAAAAATATTTATGTAATCTAGGACATCTTTTATAAACATCAATAAACTGCTTTACACTCCGCAATAGTCCTTGCTGTTAATCATCGTCTGCGGCATAATATTAGCTCTACAAAACTAATTACAGATTGTTGCACTATTTCTGTTCATCTTGCGTCCATATCCACTTGCAATGAACTCTAATGTTAACGGTAATAATGCCAAACGTAATTATAAAGATATATGGGAACTGCCTGGGACTATTTATATTTTAATTTTTTCTTTTCTTTTTGTATAATTTATGTTATATTTGTAGATTGATCGCATGTTTATGAACCAACTGTTTGAACATTATCGTATGATTTTCTATAATTTCTCCCAACTACTTCGGTCTTTTTCCCGTCTTCAATTATCACTGTGTTAATAAGAAGCCGATATTTACATTCGTGTAAATTTCTTGTTCTATTAATATACCACTGATTGAGTTGTTTATAGATGCGCTTCGAAACGACCGAAATCAGTATCATATAGCGTGTAGGAATATGTTTTTTGGCTTGTAATTTTGTAAATTTTATTAATTATAGGTAGAATGAACGATCTGGACTGAATCATTCTGGTATGTTTTTTTTTTATCGTATCGTTGAATGCAGTTCTTAATGCATTATGAGTATAAGCCAAAAATGGTTTTACATCTATAATGGTGATTTCCAGTTGGCCTGACTTAACCTCTTCCTGTGTTATTGGATTCCATGATCGACTCTACTCCTATACATTTATCATTATCAACATTATTAATACTATCACTATAGTTATCATCATAACAATGATCATAATTATCATGATAATTATAATTGTTATTATAATTAATCATCATTATTGTCATTGATTATCATTATCATTAACATTCTGATTCTGATTATCATTATCTATTATTACTATAATCACGTTATCATCCTCATTATTATTATTTTGCGGGGGCCAAGATCCTCCACTCTCACTCTCTCTCATTGTCTGTCTGTCTCTGGCACTCTCTTTCTCTCTATGCCTGTCTATTTATCATCCCTGTCTATCTTTTTGTCTGTCTGTAGGTCGGCCTACCCGTCGGCCTACTCATGTGTATGAGAGAGAGAGAGAGAGAGAGAGAGAGAGAGAGAGAGAGAGAGAGAGAGAGAGAGAGAGAGAGAGAGAGAGTATATATAAATGGTTGTATGTGTATGATTATGCAGTATTAAGTGGTGGTGGATACTGGGACAATGAAATATCAGTATTTTCTTACTTGGTATATTGAATAAATAAATATATATATATATTTTACACTAACTTATTAGTTTCCATATCCAAAGGTATCATAACCCAACAAGAAAATTTATTTAACATCAATTTATGCTGTCACTATTGCGTTTTGCACCAACATTGACAACATTTGCAACATTTTTCCCATTTCGAGTGCAAAAAATCTAACATGACCCAGAAGTAGGCGAGAATGTCCTGGGTACAGCGTTGTGCAGTGTAGTTCCCGAAACAACACAGGAACTGCAAGTAAAATTAAGTATATCGATAATGGGTAATCACATTAGCTATAGGATGTTCATATAATCAAATGGAAGAAATTATATTAGCGAAAATATCTATGATTTTG